TCCAATACTTACTTTCCGTAAGAATACTGCCCGTATGCGGGCTCTGTTTCAACTCGAGGCAGTCTCCGTCGCCGGACATCGAATCATTCGAGCCCGCACCGCTTGAGGGGAATGTGGCCTGGCTGCCGGCGTACGTCAGCTCCAAGTTGTTGCCCTGGTTGAGATACAGACAGTCGTCGCCCTGCAGCAGGATGTGCGGATTTGTCGTCATGCAGGGATTCATGCTTAACGCACTCTTTACAAACTGTAGCTGCAGCACATTGCTATTATCATTTTCCTCCCTCTCTGGCGGCTTTTGCGTCAGCATGAAGAGTTGGTAGCCCTCGGTGGACCATTCCAGGCGGCGGAGTTTGAGTGGATTCTGGCGAACCAAGTCTACGTTGAGGCCAAAGTCCCAGCTTAGAGTAGACATCAGCAATGCTCCAAACGTGCTCCACAGGGACAGACCGCCATTCGTCCAACTAACGGCCAGGACGCAGCCGTCAGGGCTCCACTTTAGCTCGTTCACCGAACCCAGACTGCCGGGCAGCACATTCTCCGTAAGCATGAGGCGGTGCGAAAACTCCAGACCTCCGGTGGCATCATCTATCGCGTAAACATTAACCGCGGAGCTCTCCTGGCCGTAGGCCAACAGTCTGAACTTGTGGTTTACGCTGCAGACGCTCGCATCCTCTACGTCCGGCACCCAGAAGCCGTGCATGTGGTCGGTCTCGAATCTCAGATGGTTGGCAATTAGGAAGGCGGCACGGCGATCGCTAAAGACGGCCGCACAGCCTCCGATGAACGGAGAGTATTCCAGCGAGGCTACGTAGGAGTCCCTGCTCAAGGGCGGAACGCTCCGGGCGGACGACTGCTGTGGCTGCTGTTGCACATAGAAGGGAATGTCGCGCAGCTTAATGGCAGCTAAGGCTGGGAGCTCCAGGTCGTTCTCCGCGTGCTCCAACTGAGTCCACTGAAGACGCAGCAGTTCGCAGGATTGGGTGGCCAGAAGCAGTTCGCTGAGACTGATACAGCACACAGTTGTGATGACAGAGCCCAAAGTCACGCTGCACAGCTCGCGCACGCTCAGCCGGGGAATATTCTCCTTGATGAACAGCTCGGCGGAGTCGCGCTTAAGGCTCGCGGGGGTGGATCCACCTGCAGAAGGATCCCACTTCCATTGGCATCGAAGTCCAGTTGGTACAGCAACAGGGCGCCGGATGCGGTGAGCAGCGCCAGCTGCCGGGAGTCCGGCTTCCACACGATCAGTTGGTTACCGCCGTACTGCCGCAGGGAGTCTTCCGTCCGTCGGAAGTAGGCGATGGGAATGAGCGGGTTTGCGTACCAGATGCCGAGGAAGTCATCGCCCACGGCGGCCACGAGTATTTTGACCGCGTCGCAGCAGATGTGCCGGATGCAGGCGCTCTCGCCGGGCAGCGCCAGGCCCACCCGCTTGGGCCAGCCCACGGGAAAGTACATCCTCCGAGTGAAAAGTTACTGCGCAAACAAAAAACTGCATTAGCAAGGGCAGGGCTGCGGAAAAACGGATTCAGCCAGCGCACGGGTGCGGGTGCATTTACATTCTGTGGGTTACGCCCAGTTTTACATGATCTCCCTCGCCTAATTAGCACTTTTACCAAACATTCCACGGGACAACAAAAAAGTCTGCGCGATTTTACGCGTATACAAATGTGAGTGTTGGCAAACGTCCCAAAATCACAGCTGTTTGCCAATCGTTGTTTCGCACCACTGATTTTGTTCAAGCAAGAGTGCTGATAGCTAAGTTTTTTTTCCGTTAAAAAAGACCGTCAGTAGTTGTTCATTCTTCTTGATATTGCAAACAATCCGTGATACAGTTTAGGCTTGACATGAATATCTTTCCGTTTGAAGAACGTATTTAAGAACTGAAGAACGTAAGCGCTTACCGTATTCTTGACTAAATTAAAATAGATGTTCAAACATTCTGCAACTCCTGGCAATTCAAAAAAACATAAAAAAAAACATTACAATAAGAGGATTGCTTATGTTAAGATCTAATGAGTCTTACATTCATGAAAAAACCTAGCAAATAGATTGTTTGGTTACTTGAACATACAATGATAATAAATATTGCGATTACTAGCAACCTTATAATTTGAAATCTTGTCCAAAAGTGTGTAATGTCAATCATATTTACTTTTCCAAAACGTATATGTTATTTACCAACATGAGTTTGCAGCACTGATAAGTTCAAGGTTTTGTAGTTCCGAAACTGGTTCCACCATAAACCACTGTCAAATTGAACTTAATTCGCATCTCGAACTAAATAAATCAGCCGGCTTTCGAGCAGTATAGAAAAGAGGATTTTACAAGTATTCTCGTAATGACTGCATTCGAAGGTAAGTTAAAACCAATATTTAAAAAGCTTGTTCTTGACTAACCCTTTTGCCGCAGAGTTTGGTGTGCTTCCGGAGCTGGGAAAGGCCACGGACGAATTGGACTGGACGTAAGAAGAAAAATCCCTTGTGTTCCAAAAATTTATAAATCTCTTTTGCAGCCTCCCCACCGATGTCCAGGCGGAGGCCATTCCTCTGATCCTGGGCGGTGGCGATGTGCTGATGGCGGCGGAGACCGGGTCGGGAAAAACGGGCGCCTTCTGTTTGCCCATCCTGCAAATTGTGTGGGAGACTCTGCGGGATCTGGAAGAGGGAAAGGCGGGCAAGGGCAGCGCAGGCGGAGGAGCGGTAGCGCCATGGACCATGTCCTTCTTCGACCGCGGCAATGCCCTAGCGGTCACTCCCGAAGGCCTACGTTGCCAGTCGCGGGAGTTCAAGGAGTGGCACGGATGCCGGGCCACCACCGGTGTGCGCGGAAAGGGAAAGTTCTACTTTGAGGCCACGGTCACAGACGAGGGTCTGTGCCGAGTGGGCTGGTCCACGCAGCAGGCGAACCTGGATCTCGGCACCTGCCGCATGGGCTTCGGATTTGGCGGCACCGGCAAGAAGTCCAACAACCGTCAGTTCGACGACTATGGCGAGGCTTTCGGTAAGTCGGACGTCATTGGTTGCCTACTCGATCTGCAGCGCCTGGAGGTGAGCTTCACCAAGAATGGACAGAACCTTGGGGTGGCCTTCCGCCTGCCGGAAAACCTTGCCAAAGATACCTTTTATCCGGCTGTGGTGCTTAAAAACGCAGAAATGCAGTTTAACTTCGGAAAGACTGATTTTAAGTACTTTCCGGGGAACGGATTCGTCGGCGCTTGCCAAGCAAAGGCGGAGAATAGCAAAGCCAATCCGCTGGCCAGTCCCGCAGCTGGAGCCGCAGCGCCAAGCCGGCGCCGAACGCCCCCCAGGCCATAATCATCGAGCCCAGCAGGGAGTTGGCCGAGCAGACCTACAACCAGATCGAGAAGTTCAAGTACCACCTGAGCAACCACGAGGTGCGCTCCCTGCTGCTTATCGGGGGAGTAAGGCTGGAGGAGCAAAAGGCGCAGCTAATGCAGGGCACCCACATCGTGGTGGGCACTCCAGGGCGGCTGGAGGAGATGATCAACAGCGGCCTGGTGCTGCTAACTCACTGCCGCTTCTTCGTACTCGACGAGGCGGACGCCCTTCTCAAGCAGGGTTACACCGAACTAATTGACCGTCTGCACAAGCAAATACCCAAGATCACGACGGATGGTCGCCGGCTGCAGATGGTTGTCTGCTCGGCCACGCTGCACGCGTTCGAAGTGAAGAAGATGGCCGAGCGCCTTATGCACTTCCCCACCTGGGTGGACTTGAAGGGAGAGGATGCCGTGCCGGAGACGGTACACCACGTTGTCTGCCTAGTCGACCCGCAGGCAGACACCAGCTGGCAGTCACTGCGCCAGCCCATAAACACCGACGGCGTCCATGACCGGGACAATATTCATCCGGGCAACCCTTCGCAGGAAACACAGTCGCAAGCAGTCAAGCTGCTCAAGGGGGAGTATTGTGTCCACGCTATAGAGAAGCACAATATGGATCGGGCCATAATCTTCTGTCGTACCAAACAAGACTGTGACAACTTGGAGAGATATCTCCGCCAGCGTGGAGGACAACGCTACTCGTGCGTCTGCCTGCACGGCGACCGGAAACCACAGGAGCGTAAACAGAACCTGGAGATGTTTAAGCGACAGCAAGTCAAGTTCCTGATTTGCACGGACGTGGCTGCGCGCGGTCTTGATATTACCGGACTGCCGTTCAGTGAGTTTTAAATTGATATCTATAGTCAGACGACTCCCCAGGAAAGGAAAAAGTCTTAGAAAAAGGGTATTCTCAGAAGAAAAACTTCTCAAAACGAATATCAAATAAGTTATATTGAAGTTAATTTTTAATTCGATCAGATGATTTTCGGTTGTAATTTAAATTAACCACCCGGAATTAGTTAGATTTGATAAAATCCCTATTCAGTAAGCCGTATAAACCTAAATCTTAACTAGCCATTTGTTTGACGGTCACTTTTGTTTAAATTTAGCTTGTGTATTTTTTTATTTAGCCAGGATACAGTTTTTGTTCTGTGTTCTAACATTTGTATAAATTAATTGTCTATATTTGCCAAAACTTATTTCATGCCATGCTCTTTCGGAAGCCTCAATTAATGTACAATCCTTCTCATCCCCAGTGATCAATGTAACGCTGCCCGATGACAAGACCAACTATGTGCACCGCATCGGACGTGTGGGCAGAGCGGAGCGCATGGGGCTGGCAATCAGCCTGGTGTCCACGGTGCCGGAGAAGGTCTGGTACCACGGCGAGTGGTGCAAGTCGCGCGGTCGCAATTGTAACAACACCAACCTGACCGACGTCCGAGGATGCTGCATCTGGTACAACGAGCCGAACCTGCTGGCTGAGGTGGAGGATCACCTGAACATCACGATCCAGCAGGTGGACCGTGCCATGGAGGTGCCAGTGAACGACTTTGACGGAAAGGTTGTGTACGGCCAGAAGAACTTCAACACTGGCAGCGGCTATGAGGACCATGTTGAGCAGTTGGTGCCCACCGTTCGCAAACTGACCGACTTGGAGTTGCAATCACAATCTTTATTTTTGAAACGCCTTAAGGTCTAAAACGGATCTGGAGCTGTATTCGTTTGCTAAGCAAGGAGAGGGTATCGTGAAGCGAGGACTGCATGACCAACTCACGCGGGAATACTTTTGCGGCACACACACACATAAATATGTAGGAAATCAGAGCTGTCGCTCTGCCATTACGAGTAAACATTCAATTAAACTAACATTAAAATCTTCTGTCTAAAGAGTAAACAGCCTCGGTTGGGAGCTGAACTCGAAGCCATCACTCCTCCTCCTCCTCCTCGTCCTCCTCGTAAAACTGAGTCCGCATCTGCTGCAGTTGCCTAAGTTGCTGGCACAGCTGGTTGCCGAACGATTCCACGTAGCGAGGGCTGATCTTGTCTAGCAGTGCGTAGGGCGTTTCAAAGATCTCTTCTTGCTCCTCGGTCTCGTCCTGGTCCTGTCCCTCGCGAAGTAGGGCGCAGATCCGCGCATTCTCGTCTATGGTGTCGTATTGGGAGGAGACGATCTTAAAGCCACGACTAGTCACCTGCACACAGCAGGTGGCACTCTCGATGGTGCGGATGTTCAGGTAGATCTGCGTGGCGTCGCTGGCCAGTTTGGAGGAGATGCAGATCTCTGCAACGTGGGCCTTCACATCATTGATAATGGCGTTAGCCTCATCCTCGCAGTTGAAGGCCTGCTCCTCCCCGTGCTCCGCGCTGGCTTTCGGTTCGCCCATCCTGTCAGAATCTCTACGGAGGGCTTCGGCTCGCCTTTTAATTGAATCCCAGTCGATTTCGTTCGGTTTTTACAGGCGCAACATGTCTTTCTATTTCATATGTCAAAGCAGCTGTCTGGCGTCTGCCAAGCGTTAGTATATTTTTGATAACCAAACGAGCGGTGCGTTCCGATTTTTCTTTTCTCCATATTACATTTGATGAATCTTCGATACCATTATTTGACTGCTATTCATGGTGCTAAATTTTAGCAGCTAAAATTAATCTATACATAATATACATTAATACATACATATGGCTAAATTGTTGAAAATTTGAAAACAATTTGTAGCAATTGAAATTTTTAAACAGATGTGACTAGTCTTTAATTTTTCGGAACTAAAAACATGCTGTTTTTTTTTGGTAGTATAGGCTTGTGTCTAAAATGATGAATTCGGTTAGAGCTACAAATATACTTTCAAATTTCTAAAGTAAGTATCGCTAACTGGTAATGTAGTGTTAGATAACAACTCTGGTTTTCAAAAATTCGACAGCCTCGAAGTTGTTGAATTGCTGAAATTTTTATAGAGCAGCTGACCAAAATTGACCAATTTGGCGTTTTAACTGCTCTCTGCATATTGCAATTTACAGCCAGAAAAGCTGCCAGACAGTTGCTAGAGTTGTCGAGTAAAATTTGTTGATTGGTTCGCAAAAAATTTAATTATATTTAATTAATTAGAAAAGAAAAGGGGGCCGCATAGTCAAGTGCTCTTTCACTTTCATATACCCGTTACTCAGCTGACCAACATCAAAGTTGATATGTCTCGACTTAGTTTTGTTCTTGGATCCAACCATGGCACTATGTTGAATTTGAACCATTTCCGTGGCAAAAACTAATTTTTCGCGAGTATGCAAATTTCCGTTTTTCAACGTTACCATGTTAAGAAATGATCAAATTTGCTAAAATAAAATGAACTAACAGTAGTGTTAAAATAACAGCTGTTAAAGTCAGCTGTTGCAAGTTGTCTTAAAGGTTAACTTTACGGTGCAATTTCAAATTGGCATATCTCTGACAAAAAATCATTAAATAATCAAATTCAAAATTAATATTAATTCTTTAAGTTAGTACTATGTGTTGATACTTTGACGTTGATATTTTTCTAACCATTTGTATATTTAGAAAATGGTGTCCCCTTGTCACTTCTGGAAAGAAAGTTGAACTTTCCAAAGAGTGAGTGTCTATATACATGTTGTAGAGTTGTCAGTTCAGAACTAGTAAGCACCTTGTCCGCTTTTTGCGCCTTTTTGCATTATTTGATTTATTAGGAGCAACATTTTAATCAGCAATGCGGATCTGCTAGAAGTGTGGCGTAAGCAAATAGCTTTTGTGAGAAACAAAATGCTATATACACTTTTATTGATGGCAGCGTTTTAGAAGAAAATCATCGTTATTTAAAAGATAAAGTTCGACATTTTTCTGCAAATTTATGGCGAAATTTCCGTAGGAAGGTCGAAAGCTTTAAAAAGACATATTTAAATTGGATGGACGGTTATATGAGCCTTATTTTAACTAGAGAAGAAGCCAAAGGAGAGGAAATTAAAAAACCAGGTGGTCGTCCAAAAATGACATTCAATATAAGAGGTAGAAGAGGTCCAAGTCATCCAGCTGTTGGCTTGTGAAGTTGAATCTGCAGATGAGTCTGCAAATGAAATCGACGCAAGGGAAGACGACAATACATATTTTTTTTATAATAATAATGAAATTGATGACATTGATGAAGTGAAAAATGAATACATAAAATAATGCAACAAAAAAAAAATTGTCTTATTGCATAACTTCTATATTTATAATTCGATCTGGACCAAATTTGAAACACACAATTGAAATAGGAAATTCATCCTGTGTTCCAAAATTGGGGTCTCTAACTTTATAATTGCTTTACATTTTCGTTTTTTTTCCCGATTTCTGTGGGCGGAGGGGTGCGTTGACAGCCCAGTTTTCTAAAACACCTTCCTATAGTCATAACCAATAAATAAAAGAAACCAGCAGTGAAAAATCTTTTTAATTTTAAAAATTATAATTTTGGCCACAGAAACGGGTCAAATTCAACATAGTGTGTTGGCCTGGCCAACTTGGCCAGCGCGCTGCGGTTCGTTCCGCTGCTGGTCGTCACCCTGGGCGGCGCGCCGACCTGCCTGCATGTGGTCACCAAGGAACAAATTGGTGACTTCTAATAAAATTAATATCTGTTACTATTAAATTATATGGAACAAAAGATTTTTTATGCATTCAAATTTTTTAAGTGAGATTGCTCGTGACATATCATAACAGGACGAGGTACAAGAACATAACAATGTTACGTTCAGCAAGTTATGTGAAATCCCGCGAACGAAAGACTTGCCAGATGGCTCAACTGAGTGTTGTAGGTCGTAACTTGCACTTGCCGATATAATTTAATTTTTGTAGTAAATGCCTGTGGGTTTAATTATACCGTAACAAAAACATACATAAATTAGTTTAAAAAATGGCCTTTCCAGAAATGTACTGTGCAAGTTGGCACATTCTCTGTGAGAGCTGTAACTAATTGTTCAGAAATCGTAAGGAATCGTGTGTTCCCATAGGGTTTGGAAATTAAGGCTGGCCGGTGTGATCGTGCAAGAAGACGACAGCTTTAAAACCACTTGATTTTCTCGAAATCTGTCGGTCTATTTTTCCGGTATTAATTTGTAAATTAGTTTAAGTGCACTTTCCAATGAGGTACCGTACAGGTTGGGACAACCTCAGTGAGAGCTGTAATAAGTTAAAGAAAGTTAGCGTCGGACGATTGACATGGCTAAGCTATTTACCTTGTGGTTCATGTATTGGTATCCAATGCTTCAGTTTATGGATGAAACGTCTTTTAATTAATATTTTTCACACCCCCATTTATCTAAAAATCTGTGGGTTGGGTTTTGATAACATTTTCACAGAACACTCCTTAGATGATCCCTCATCTACTCATATACCGTGCATGGAGCCGTAGTTAATTTTGTTGTTGCCCTCCTTTTTTGTATGGGATAAATTCGAGGTTGATCAACTGTTAGGCGATTTTCCCAAAAACCGTGGGTTTGTTTTTGGTAAAACTTACAGACGAGTAGTTTCAATCATCCTTTAATATCCTGACTTACAGCGTCTTCCCAAAGGGATCCATCCACCATCTACCATCCATTGAACGATGGTCCATAGGGTTTTGCCGTTCCGAAAATTTTCCAGTTAGTTCCCATCCAAATTTGACGGACTCTTTTAAGCGATAGTAATGCAAAGTTTTTTTTTCGGTGCAACTCTGAGCTCTTCTTTTTGACATCGGAAATTGAAACATTGATTAAGAAAACGTAAACAATGATGAAAGGCGCAGAACCAAAGGCTTGGTTCGATTAGCCAGATCAGCTTGTATCGGATGGTAGATGTGCCCTGTTGAAACCAGAGTTTCACATTTGTCAAAAATCCCAACCTTTTCGAACGGATGGACTCTATAGGAAGGAAGTATTATCGTGCATATTGGCACAACTTCTGTGAGAGGAACAGTTAACAAAATTGTGAGGACACGATTTTTCAAATGCATTTTTGGAACATTAATAGTCCTCGGATTTGCTAAAAGCCAATTAAGCAATCTAGCATTTTCAATTTTTTGATTTGGTCCCCAAATAGCGAGAAAATGCAAAAACGAAAACAGTCCCCATGTCTCAAATTCCACCATTCCACTTTCATTGCGAAGTGACCGTCGCTAATTTGACGGACATAACTGTCCTGCACCCGGTTTTTCTAGCTATTGCCTGTTTAAACCCTAATCAGACAAATGCGGTTTTCGCTTCAGCAACTAAATTCCGCATCAGAGGAATACAAGCTACAACTCGCTTCAGCGGAAAATAAATCCGATTCAGTATTCCAGTGTTTTGTTCAGTATTTTACGTACGATCTTGCAGAGGGTATTATGATTTAAGTCAGATGTTTGCAACATAGACCCCAAAAAGTATATGTATTCTTGATCAGCATCTCTCAGTTTTAAAGCTATCGGGCTGAAACTTTCCCAAAAGTCTTCTTTCTTTTGCAGGTAGTATATCAGTCGGAACCAGCCTGATCGGACAACTATGTCGTATAGCTCCCATATTTTTTAAAATTATATCTTTGGTGCTTCTTTATTTAATTTTATCAAAATCGGACGACTATATCATATATCTGCCATAGGAACGATCGGAAAACTGGGGGGAAAATAATATAAAACAAATTATAGCTTCGGTGTTTATTTGACATATTATCTTATACTATTGGGAATATCATTTTTTGCATTTTTAAGAATTTTGAACTAAATTTAATAATTATAACTGCAAGGGTATACAGACTTCGGCTTGTCGAACTTAAGTTCCTTTCTTTTTTTAATTGGCGTTTAAGGATTTTTTTTTGAGAAGGAAATGCATTTGAACTGCAATGGCGCCGTAATTATTATTTCCAGCAGGTTACGTGTTACCTTTGTGCTATGTTTAGGTATTTTCTAGATGGATCTGAGGGGACTTGAAATAGGGCCTCTCGCTCTCTCCAACAATGCGTGTACGCAGTGACATATCTGAAAATGAAGTTTGCATGGAACATTTCAGAAAGAGGTGACCAAAATATTTAAAAAGAAAAAGACAAAATTCTTTTTTCAGATTAATTGTATTTAATTGGTATTTTTGAAATGAAAATGGAATTTATTTGTAGGTTGGGTTTTTGTTCTTGTCGTTATCGGTGGGGAACCAGTGTTGGCTTGCAGGAAAACATCGGAGTTGTTGAAACATCGATAGAACAGAATATCATCGCCTTCGTCCCAGGTTCCAGCACTAATTTCATTGCGAAAAAAATAAGAATCGGGCATCGGCACGGACGACTGAAACTGCAATTTTAAGAATACACGGACAGAGTTGTGGTGCTCGGCAGACACAGACATTCAGGGCGTGTGACAGCGATCGCAAGTGCTAATTACCCGTTCGCAGGCGAAGTGACAGAGGCACAGGCTTCAGAATGAGCGCACCTGGCATGGACAAGAGAAAACTCTCGTAAGTATTGTGCAGAATTCCTTCGTTTTTCCTCCGCTGCACACACACACACGCCGTCGGCACAGTGCACACACAGCCCTGTGTG